AGAAGCCGGGAAGGAGGAGACCGCGCTCGGCGCCCGGCGCTGCTGGCCGGCGTCAGGTAAGGGCTGCTGGCCTTGCAGGGGCAGGCGTGTGAGGCCTGATGACCAGGCGGCAGCTGATCGTTAGTCTCTGGCTTGCTGGAAGTTTCAGGAGAGATGTTCCAAAGTCTCGACTCTCTCATGAGTCATCTCCTAGCAGATTTAGACAAAGTCGGTCTCTCGGACCAGCGCTGTCGCAGTTCAGAGTCCCGCTGCTGACTCCCTGCGCGGCAGCCCCAGCCGCGGGGCGGGCAGCTGGGCCGGGGGAGCGGCTGGAGCTTTGCTCAGCTTCCGCCGGGTTCTGCTCTGCTGGGAAGATGTGACGCGGTTTTATGCTTCCATTAGAGATCCCCTACAGAACAGAGAGCTTGCCTTACAGGTATCTTAAGCTAAAATATGGTGGTTTTTAAACATGAAATGGAAAACATTACTACAGAATATTAATACAGTGTATTTTAGCTATCATCAGTTTTCATGTCACTTTGCAAAAGTAAATAAAACTTTTTTTCTTTGCTTCACAGAAGAGATCTTTGAGACTACGTAACGGGCTTTTTGCACAGAGTTCGGGTTTATGTTTAAAAAACACCCAACTTTTTATGGCTAGCTTAAAATACCACTTTTTTTTTTCCCCACTATTTAAAGACTGCAACTAAAACAGCAATGTAAAATTAGAGGAAAATGATCAAAAATATAGAAAGCCGCCTTCATACAAAAAGTAAAGAATTTTAGAAATTAAGGGTGGATAAAGCAGAGCATGGTTTCATTAGCCAGCACCAATAAATCTGCGGAAAGCAGTACAGTTGGCCAACTCTTCCCCGGCTGAGCTGGAAGTGAGCACGCTACTCAAAAATCACGTGGCCTTGGCAGATGCTAACTCTGCACTCGGGTTTCCCCAGCAGCATGAGAATAGTTTTGTTGTGCTCTTGGAGTTCAGGGGCTCCTGACTGGGTGTGGAGCATCCAGTGTTTCTCTTGCTGGGCTGGCTCTGGAGAAGGTTGGGTGGGAGCGGGGATTACATGTCTGAAATTAAACAGATACTGCTGGGAAAGGAATGGGACCTTTAATAGATGGTTACTGAGTACCTCTCCCCTGATTGCAAGACCTTATTTTTGCTGGCACTTAAGTAGAATACAGCATTTGGATGCATATGGTGCTTTTTTAAACAGTAGTTCTGTTACCAAATGTAGAAAGTGTGACCAGAGGGCTTTGAGCAACTAGTGCATTCCAAGCCTAATGATTCATGCTTATGATTTAAAACTGAGACTGCAGGGTTGAAGTTCAGTTGCATATTAGTCTTTCTTGCAAATGCCTTGCTGTATTGTCTTTTAAAATTTGAGGGAAGGGCTTGAGGTAGTAATGAAAAGACAAGTAATTAAATGGGGTCACTGGATTTGATGCTTACTTGAGCTGACAGAGCAGAATGGTGTTGCATAGCTGGCAGATTAGCAGTTCTCTATTAGATAATAATTCTCTAGGGATTTACACCTGCTGGTAACTGCGTCTTTTATTTACCTAATATGGATTCTGGGTGAGTTCAGACAGGTGGGGGAGTTTGGTACTGATGTCCAACCTCCTACAAACCAACAATCATTCTTGTCTAAGCTAATAACACAGGCTTTGTGGCACTGCCTGCATCACAAGAAGTCCAGCTATTGAGGTGCCATTATATAAGTTCCTCTGTCATGAGCTGATTGATCACCAGTTCTTGTTTCTTTCCCCACGGAAAGTAGGTAAACTCAGGGCAGATTTTTCATTTCAGCCTTCTTACACTGTAGGAACTGTACATTGCATCTGAGGCAGCCACAACAGGGATGGCAACTTGCCATATATGTCAGCGTTTAAGCAGGACTCAGGTATTTGCATCTTCGTGAATGTAATGAGGTCAGTAGAACAGAACGTAAGAGAAACATAGGTCTTCTTACTCATCTGAACTCAGTTTTTTGACGTGGAGAAAAAAAAGCTTTTGACACCAATATTTCTCCCTTCTTGAAAACTCTCTTGCATCACCACATTTTTTGTTTTGAACTGAAGGGTGGTAGTTCCCACTGCATTGGGCTGTAGAACATTTCAATGTCCATTTGTTTTTAGGGAGCAGGTGAGCTATTTAACTCGTTCCATGCTTTCATAGAATCAGGCTTGTTCAATCTAGAATATAGTTTCTTGAAAATGTTTTGGGGGATAAGATTGAATTTCTACTGAAAGAGCGTGTGGATTTACTTCCCTTATCCTTAAGGGAAGAGTGCTGAAGAAAATGTAGATAAGACTTCTGTTTGCTCTGTTGTCTTTCTGCAAAGTCATGCATAGGTGAAGGTCCTCAAAAGAGGAGATTAGACCTTAGACCGGGGAGCAGGGTGCCAGCCTGGCCTGCAGGAGCGGGGCATGGCGGGGTACTGCGAGCTGCCCGGGTACTCTGCCTGCTCCTGCCGGGCTTCACCAGTGCCAAACGAACCAACGCTCTCCGCAGTTCTGTGAAGATGCTGTTTAGCGTGAAAACAATTTTCATTTCAATCTGATGAAGTGCCTTTTGAAACGATGTTGTCAGTTTAGCTTGTTTCTATTTAAAATGTAGTATTTAATGGTGGTAACTTCTAATGTTCCTGGCAAATCAAGAGAAATAGCCGCTCTGTGCTCCTCGTTGCTTTTCTTTGAATTTTGATGGGATTTGGGCAATGGCTTTCATCACTTTACTATACAGATGGCTTCATTTTTGTTGTGTAGGAGTTTCTTTTGCCAGCCAGAGAAAGACTGAACGATATTTTAAATAGGAAAACAAAATAAGTTGGCACAGGGCTCAGGGAGGAAAGAGTATGTTTTGAGTGCTTTCAGTTGATCTTAAATTTACCTTCTTTCAATTAACTGGATTTTAAAAAAATACGCAGTTGTTAAAAGTCAGCTTAAACAACAACATGCACATGGGTTTTGGAACTTCCTGAGATACAGAATACCATACAGCAATTTTCTTCCTGAAAAAAATACTCTTAATGCAGGGACTCCAGAGGTGTTTCTAGGGAGTATCTGTAACATTTGGAGTTGAAGGCCAATCAAAATACACAGTTCTTTCTAGAATATTTTCCTTTCGAGGCCTGAGTGGGATGCCATTAGCTAGTTAATTCAAGCTTTTCCTGCTGGCCCTCCCACTTCTCCTGCTTTATCTCTGATACAATACAACCCTTTCCCTCACATCAGAGCACCAGTGCTCATTTTGATCTACTCTATTAGGCATACAGCTTTCATGGTGTTTAGAGAGCTTTGGAAACAAGGAAATTTTTTTTTTTTTAAAAACCCAAACTTTAACAGAAAATGTTAAGTGAAATGGATAGCCACTAGAGAGTTAGCCCCTAAACTGTTCTGGGTATTTGGTTTAGTCTTGAGGTGAGATGTAGTAGCTGACTTCCACTTTCTGAACCAGGGGTCCAAATCCAGTCAACAGGAGATGCAGAAAATCTATGTTGGAGACATGGTCTGCAGGGTCGAAGAGGAAAATTTCCCTCTATCTATATTCAGAATGCTTAGATAGAAATACTGCAGCTTTTTGTCTTTAAAAAAACAAACCCAAACCAAAACAGCTTCCTCTATTCATGTTTTGTGTTTTAGTTCTACTGGACATAAAAACTGTGACAGTACTGAGAGTCACATAATAGACATGTTAACACTTCTTTTATACCCGATTCTCAAGCTGGCCCTAAAACTGGCTTTTTTCATTATGTATCTGGGTATTCGTAGAAGAATGTCCTTTACCTGCTCCCTGTGTGAATCTTCTGAAATGGAAAGAGACTTCAGGAGATGGATGTTGGTGTCTGGCAAGGCTTGTAAAATAGAAAGACGTTCCTTTCCTTTCTGTTTTCTTCTTTCCAAGCTGGACATTAAGAGCAGGAAAGGATTTTGGTGCCCAGCAGTCCAGAACTCTTTTAGCGGCAGCTGCTGCACTGCAGAATTGAAGCTGGGAATTATCTCCTCCTCTTCTCCACCCCACTCCTCCTCCCAGCCTCGGATTCAGACTGGCTCTGGGGTTAGCTGTGCAAGGCCAGCTGGCTGCTCATCTGACTGTAGTGCATCGCTGCCCAACAGCCTGAGACTGCAGGGTGTTTTTTGAGAGTTGAGTTTCAATGGCCACCCTGACTAGCGAGAAGCAAGGACTGCTTATACGGACAGCTCGTTTTTATCTTGTGCAGAGTCGGCTTTGTAGTGGGATGTTGAAGTATGACACAATGCCTGTTTGTTTGCAATAGCTGCAACCCTCGTAGCAGAGATTCAAGTGGGAAACAGAGGGGGAATCCAGAGACAAACCAGCGGGGGAATTAGGAACTGTGACGCCGTGTCCTCTCTCCTGTGCCGGAGCAAGCAAAGGAAAGAGAGGTAGAGGAAAAAAGACTGAGCCTTGCAACCAACTGTCACCCTGACGATGTGTCAGTCAAACACCCTGCAGGGACCAGATCTGCACACAGGGAAATGGTGAGATGCTATAAAGCTTTATCTAACCCTCCACCCTCTTGCTACAACCTCCGCAAAGTTAAAATTCATGTCCGGAGGCTGCGTTCAGGGAACGGCGGCAGCAGCAGCTGTGCCGGGGACCAGCACCCACAACTGGAGAGTCCAGGCCCGGCTGGCTCTGCCTGTGGTACACCAAATAGGAGAACTCGTTTCAGGTACTGTTCAGTATTTTCTGCTTTGCAGGAATGGTGACTGAAGGGAGAAACGAGGGAGGGGAGGATGGGAGGGTTTCTGGGCAGAAGGAGTGACAGCCATCTGCAAAGCTTTTGTTTGGCCTAATTACTATAAAGCTCCTTATGCATTGAATTGGCAGAGAAGGGCATGCTGTTATATGACAAGGGGAATGAGGAGGCTTTCATTCCTTTCCTTTCTACTCTGCCACTAGGAGAATAGAAAAATTAGTGAGGGACTGCTCTGAAACCAGGCCAAGGCAGTGAGAAGCCCGAGGGCTCCAGAGCAAGCTGCCAGGATGCAGCTCTGCAGGGATTGGTCCACGAGCGACTGCAGTGAAGGGGGGGAGAGCAGCGGGAGGGGGAGCAGGACCTCCGTGCTCGATGCTGGCAACCCAGCTCCTGGCCTCGCCAGCCCTCGAGCAGACTGCAGGCTGGTGGATGGTAAGGATGGGAGGAAGAACGTGAAGTCTCCCTTCCTATTCCCATGTCGAGTCAGTCCCACCTCCTGCTGAGAAAGCTGGCTTTACCTCTGCTGAGACAGCACTAAATCTCCTCAGGGTTTTGGGGTTTTTTTTTCCCCTTGCATTGTGATGCACAGATCATCCTCTGTTTTTTATTTATTAACTTGTGGAGCGAAAGAAGTTGTGCTCACTGGAGAAAAAAATCTCTGAGCCAAAAGCACCGTCGTGCATCCCAAAGTGGTGACAGTTGTACCTGCCTGCATGATATTTTAATTCTGATCCAAGTTTTGAAAAGAACATGTTGGCAAGAAAATTTCCTTTTACTTTCCCAGCTTCTTTCCATCTTGGAAAGACATACACAGTATTTATAGTTCATCCTTTGTATCATATAATCCAGCAAGAGAGCGAGCTGTTCAGAGCAGCCAGAGCGTACCACTTCCAGTTTGTGTGAGCACATAGCTGTATCCTGGTTGAGGCATACTGCCTTCAGCAGTGTGGGGAGAACAATCTCTTAGCCAGGATTTAAGACAGTGCCCAGAAGATTTGAGTATTTTGCCCTCAGGTAGGCAGACTTTCATTTGATAATGTGACCTTGGAAATGCCGATGGTTTCTTCATGAATAGAAGGCAAAGAATAAATGGGGACCTGAAGCGTCTCTCATCCAGACCTCCTGCAAGGGTCTGAACTGAGGCCCATGATGCCCTCTGCTAATAAGATGAGCAGCTTTTCTCTCTGAGAGTTACAAGTTCAACTTCTCCCCATGGCCATTTGTGCAAAATGAGTTTGCTCTCAGGACATCCACATTACAAAAAAATCATAGATGCAGTTGGTTATGAGGCAAAGGAGTTGGTTATTGGGCTATGGAGACAGATCATCTTGCAGCATTAGCAGTATTGGCTTTGTCCACATGTTCTCTGTTCAGAACCAGGGTACCCAGTGAAGGTTTTAAGACCTGGAAAGATGTCTTTTGGAATCAGTTATTTGAAAATTGTATTAATTAACTCAGGAGTGCCACTCCTGTTGTTTCTCAAATAAGTGCTTGTTTCCTGAAGTTAGTGAATGACCAATAGGTCTGTGTGAATTTGACTCCGAGGCACAATCTAGTCAAGATGCCTTCAAGACATGAACCCTCTGAGGGACCTCAATTTCGTAGGTTTCAAGGATTTCTTTCATCCTTAATATTGCCCCACCATACAGTTCTTATTAAAGTCCCAGCATCACAGATTCCTAGCTTTCATAATATTGTTTGCTGTCCACTTTGGCTATCCAACAGCTGGAGCAGTCACAAGAAAGGTTTTCTGGGGATGTAATCTTCTGATATTTGGAAGAAGAATCTTTGCTCTTTCTTACTTCCACTGTAAACTATCATGTTATGTTGTTAGTTGGATGAACCAGCTGTGACTTTGTTTTCAGATGTCACCTGCAAGTGATCTTGCCTTTAATTTTTGAGGGTTTCACTTATAAAATGTGACCTGTGAGAGTGAACACCATTTTTTGGACAGAGGATTTTTCTTCTTTTTTTTTTTAAGGTAAAGGTCTTCTATTTTGGGAAGGGGAAGAACTGACCAAAATAAAGGAGTAAAGGCTTGCAGAATCAATGTTTAAGTAAAGATTAGCAGGAATAAATCATCCCCAGCTGTAAGAAGCTGGTGGTTCTGAAGCTGAGATGGCTGACCCTCTTATGTTGTGTATGTAATCTTTCAGGTTGCAATTTCCCCAGCTGGCCCTGAGGCGAAGGTTGGGCCAGCTAAGCTGTATGTCTAGGCCTGCTCTGAAACTCCGTTCTTGGCCTCTGACTATTCTCTATTACCTTCTGCCTTTTGGTGCTCTTAAACCCTTGACCAGAGTGGGATGGAGGCCTATGAGCAGGGTAAGTGTGAGCAGGTCTCTGTTGCGCTTCGTGTATGTTAGCTGTTTTATACCGAAGGGAGCTGGCAGCAGCTGGTTGGAGAGATCCTTAATATAGAACAGCCTGATGATAACTAGTATGAAAGCAGAGAGATGCAATTCATGTTTCCCCTTAGTCTTTACTGTTCATAGTTGTGTTGACTAATTGCTTCACAGACAAGTGATTTTTTCAGTAGCAGAGAACTTCTTTGTCCTCTAATGGTCAAGGGTCTACCCAGGAAAATCAACAAACTTTTGACTTAAGTCAGTCACCTCAAAGTATCAGGCCTAGGATAAGGCAGACCAAAACGCTTCTCCAGTTCCCTTTCCTGGCCACAGTGAAATGGACTCTTGCTTTCTGTCATTTTTGCACAGAGAGGGTTTGTTCCTCAAGTTCTTTGAGCATTTGTAATACAGCCTGTCCAAATGATATGCAAATCTCTGCTCTAACACTGTTGAGAGCAGGGTGTAGGAAGCCTTGCACATGGATATTCTCTGCACATACGCCATTTCGGAATGCAAGAACCACACAAATATTTTGATTGACAACTGCAACAAAATTGTGGTTGACTATTTTGTTGAACAGCTGTTCTGTTTGATGCCATCAACTTGAAAACCAGGCTCTTTTGAAGAGAAGAGGCTACTAGGAAATATCACTTTTACAATTTTTGTGATTTTACAGTAGTAGCTGCATATTCTCAGTATTTGTGGAAAACTGAGCAAAATTGATTTTAGAAATTAACACTGTATTAGGCATTTCAAATAAACTGGCAAAACATTTTTTCTTCAGTACTTCAGCTTATATAACCTAAGGTACTGTTGATTCAGAAGTTTTTATCTGAAGTAAGATTAGGTTGGTGTTTTCTTTCTGAAATACCACTGTATTTTAATGTGATGCAGCATGGTGGTTTTTGAGTGAAATCTTAATTCACTGTATTTGATAGGATGGACAGGCTTTCAGCCAGTGTGTGCGTCTATTTGTGTTTATGGCTGTATTTTGCAAGACTTAATTATGAAGGATGTGATTAATACTGAGAATAAATGATGACTCTTACTAAGAAAAAAAAAACCTTTTAGTTGGGAGTTAGATGTAGCTGAGCTGCACTGTTCGAAAAAATTGTACCAGATTCAGCAGATAACTACTTCTTTTGCAAAACTGGTTTCAGAGGGTTCAATTCCCTTGGTCCACACACCCCCACCCCCTTGATTACATCACAGTCATATGAGCTTTTTGGCTGATACTAAGTACGACAAACCCCCAGAAGAGTTACCTGCTGGAATTACCAACAGGAAGACATTGTCATCTGTCCAGTTACATCAACAGCATATACCTCTTGCCAACATTGTTTCGTTTGTTTTACTTGCTACTAAAACTTAGGCTTTAGTGTAAGTCCAAAGGTATATTTCTACCTTTGGAATAAAGGAATAGAGGCGCTTTACTCTTGCAATTAGCAACTCCCATTGTTACGAGAGGAGTAAGGCTGGCGTAAGTTTATACTAGTGTAGCTGCATTCACATGGGTATGCTTCTTCGGTTGTACAAGTATCGTTAGAGCAGTACAATACTGGGATGTGGAAAACACCCTCGTTAATAGATGCATCTGAGAAGCACGTCATCAAACACTGAGAAACTATTTTTCAGTCAATTTTCATGTGGTTATTCACAAAAGTGAATATATTGGTAATGTTAAGCCCTTCTGATGAGTGTTCTACTAGAATATGTGAAATGCGTCTTTTTTTTCTGTAAGCCTCACATTGGGCAGTTTCCAGTAACTTGAATGTGGAGCTTCAGCCTGCAGGGGAGTGGAGATTCTGGCTTCAGTATAAGGTTATAGTAAGTTTCATCCTGTCCCTCATCTGCTCTCATCAGAATGGAGGGAGTGAGGATGAAATGCAGTGTTAATTTTTTGCTGACTTAAAGGCTACTTCGTGTGTGGTGTAACCCACTGAATTCAAAGGAGTGGTTAGCAGGAACAGTTTGATCATTTCTGTTTTACGGGGAGAGAAGTAAGAGAAAGCCATCAGTGGGAAGATCTGAATGACATGGTGGAATTCTTCTTTCTTCAGGTTGCTCTGTACAAATCAGTACCAACTCGACTGCTCTCACGAGCCTGGGGTCGCCTGAACCAGGTGGAGCTGCCTACGTGGCTCCGGAAGCCAGTTTACAGCCTGTACATCTGGACATTTGGAGTGAACATGAAGGAGGCAGCTGTTGAAGATCTGCATCACTATAGAAACCTCAGTGAATTCTTCCGCAGGAAGCTGAAACCACAAGCACGGCCAGTCTGTGGTTTACACAGTGTGGTGAGTAAAAGGAAACGAAGGCTTTATACTACACTACGTGCTTCCCCCCACCCCCCAAAGGAATGTGTCTGCTTTATGAGGAATGAATGAATTCATCGCGCTTTACAACTACCTGAAAGCACGTTGTAGCGAGGTGGGTGTTGGTCTCTTCTGCCAAGTAACTAGCGATAGGACGAGAGGAAATGGCCTCAAGTTGCGCCAAGGGAGGTTTAGACTGGACATCAGGAAAAATTTCTTTACTGAAAGAGTGGTCAGGCCTTGGAACAGGCTGCCCAGGGAAGCGGTGGAGTCACCATCCCTGGGGGTATTTAAAAGACGTGTAGATGAGGCGCTTAGGGACATGGTTTAGTGGGCATGGTGGTGTTGGGTTGATGGTTGGACTCAATGATCTTAGAGGTCTTTTCCAACCTTAATGATTCTGTGATTCTATGATTCCTAATGTGTTTCATTTTTTTCCTCTTTCCTGTAGATTAGTCCCTCTGATGGAAAGATCCTTAATTTTGGGCAGGTAAAAAACTGTGAAGTGGAGCAAGTAAAAGGGGTTACTTATTCTCTGGAATCTTTCTTGGGACCTCGCATCTCCACAGAGGAATTGCATTTTAGCCAGGGTGAGTTCTGCATCAGTTCTGCATTTATTCTACTCTGCCCTTTCAGTGTTTTCAGAGATCATGAGAAAAGAGATTACTTTTTTTTTTTTCCTTCCCCTCTCTTTCTCACATTGTCAGGAACAAAAGCAGCTCTGATTTTTGTTTTGTTTTATTTGGGGATAAACATGTCACTGTTCTAGCTCTTCTTTTTCTCGCCAGTGGCTTTATGGTGTCTTGCCTGGCTCATTCTGATTATCTGAATTTAATTGCTTGGTTCCTATAATTGACTGCAAGATCTGCCACTGTAATGAGGCTGTAGCGCTCCTGCTGTCAGACTGAAATGTGCCCAAGCACCTGGTTAGCAAAAATTGTATAAGCTACTCTGTTACAAGATTTATGCTCAAGCACTATACTTCTAATGACTTGTGCTATTACTGCTCTGCTGCACCTTGAGCACTGTCTCCAAAGCCTTGAGTTTCGATGAAAGCAAAAGGGGACTGGAGGGACTGAGTTCTGCAAACAGTAGGGTTATTTTCAACATGAACACAAATGAAACTAACACATTTTATAAAACTAGGGCCTCTTCACAAATTCTGTTCTTAAAAGGGTTGCTTTGAGAAAAATTCTGTTCTTGAAAGGGTAGCTTTAATAAAAATCCTGTTTCACTGGATTTCAGTTTATGCTCTTCTGTTTAGGGAAAAGCAATCTCCAAAATTAAGGAATTTCCAAAATTATTAAAACAATACAGGATCTAATTTTGTGGTAAAGAGAAAAGAACACTTTGAAATATTGGATTCCTGGATGAAGTGTATCTCTTTGTAGTCTCAACAATACATGTGGACTGCATTTAGTCCTCTGCTGTTATCACTGGTTCTAATGTAGACTGCTCGGCTGTGGTAGATGACTGTGTGAAGAATATCTTTAACCCCTTTCTTTCCGTGGTTTCTCTGCAGCCTCACCTGGTAACTCTTTTCAGCAACAACTAGTCACAAAGGAGGGGAATGAGCTCTATCATTGTGTAATCTACCTTGCACCAGGGGATTATCACTGCTTCCACTCACCCACTGACTGGAGAGTGTCACACCGACGTCATTTTCCAGGTAGGTTTCTGTTCCTAGAAAACGAATGCAGAGGAGCTATGGAGGGACGCACTGGTATGGGCCACTGCTGAACGAGACACGCCAGTGGAGCGGTTGTACAGTCACATGATAGATAATGGTAGAGAAGTGATTTGTCACAAATAGTAATGGATTTTATAGTAGTATAGTTTACCAGAACAAATCACATATAAGTGGTGAAAACATTAATATTGTACTCAAGCTGTTTTAGTTCTTTGAAATAACTGTCGATGCCTGCTGACCTGACTTGTTCCCAAACACAATTTGTTCAGTTTGCACCTGAAATACAGATAGTTCTGCAGATCAGAGCAAACAGTAGCCTAAAATATGATCTCTTCCTGTGCTTGGCAAAGAAGAGGCAACTAAACAGTTACACTGCCGGAGCTGGGCTCATATGTTTTTGTCCTCCTCTTTGCAGATCATCATACTCTAGTTCAGCAGATAACAAAAACGTTTTACTACTTGGTATCTAGCAAAAACCTAAGTACTTGGATTTGGTTTCAAACACCATGAGAGAGAGACAATGACCTGCCACAATGTTTGAAAAATCTGTCAAGTTCCAGATTGAGGCTAGGCCTTGACTGAAACAAAGGAGTATTAGTGAAATTATCAGATTCAATGCAGCAAAGCAGAGATGTATTTTATAGCTAAAAATGTGTGTAGTGAATATACCTTACTAAATTACTTTAAGGATTATGTAGGGATTTATATCTTTGAGGTTTTTCTGTAATAAACTTTTTTTTTAACTGATTCACATTATTAGTAATTCCTGGTCAGCTCTAGCTAGATAGCTACTGGGTTTTCAGCCACAGTCTCAGTAATCACTTATATGCATTTACCAAAGAGAACTGGAAGGGGCTGCTCTCGTGCACTGGATAGTTAACCAGTGAAACCTGTTCCTAAGCTGTAAAAAGTTTCTTTAGCTTCCTTTTAGTAGCCTGTAGCCTTTTGTTAGATGGATCTTATGTGCTTATTAGAAGGCTTCTTTCAATTCTATCTATCAGGGCTGAGACTAGGGACTGGCTCTGCCTTTGTCCTTACCCTGATCTCTCTTAAGGGCGTATCAGATGACAACAGTAGTTGTCATTTGCGAATTCGTAGATGACACTAGTGTGAAGTTGGTTGGTTACATCTTTGGTAGAGGAATAGCATCAGATAGTGTGGAAATGAGTCCCTGCCACCTCAGTTTGGTGATAGAGGAGTAGATATGACTGATGCTAGAACAGGCTTCAACAATGGCAGATATTTTGAAAGGGACTCCCACCCCAGATTTTGCTCCCTGCTTTAATGGCAGGCTTTCACTGTCTGGAAATGCAGTCAAGGTGAAGCTGTAGATGGGAATAAGTGAAAGCTGAGAGAGGTGGAGGGTACCGGTCAGCCTGAAAAGAACCATTTCCAGGTATGAAAATTTAAACCCTTTGCTCTTTAACAGAGAGAACTGTAGATGGTGCTCCAGATTGCATTCAAGCCTTACAATGAAGGATGAGCATGGTCTTTAGTTTCCGTGTGACTCTGCTAGGAGGACTGCAAAGTAATATGAGCCCTGCCCAAGAGCGTTAATCTTTCTGGACAGAAAACTAAAGATTATATCTTTTTCTGACCCCTTTGTTTTTACTACAGTCTCGTCTTTCATTTGTTCTGCCTAGCATTTGCCTCTCTTCCTACAAATAAGTGACAGAATTGCATAGTAGATCAGCTGCAGTTATACTAAAAATACCATTTAGATGGCATTACAATACTGCTACAAACCTGACAACTTAACTTGAATATTTTTTCACTGTTGCAGGCTCTTTGATGTCTGTGAATCCTGGAGTTGCTCGCTGGATCAAGGAACTGTTCTGCCACAATGAACGGGTTGTCCTTACAGGTGACTGGAAACATGGCTTTTTCTCTTTAACAGCTGTAGGAGCAACAAATGTGGGCTCTATCCGCATCTACTTTGACCAGGTGAGCAAGATAGTAGGCAGCTTTCTGGTTTTGATGGTCGAGATTGGTACAGTATAATAAAATAAAGTTACAAAAAATTTTTTAAAATCTCATTACCCTAAAATTAAGGTGTTTCACAATACTCGTGTTCTAAGACTGATTTATAGGGAGTCATCTCCAGTATAGACTATTTTTTTAATATTCCTATTGCACTTTCAAATTGTAAGTAAGTTCCTGCATTGGAAATGCCTGGATATCCACAGTCTACACCTGTGCCTAATGAATACGGAGTACTGACATCCTTAAATAACAGTTTCTTCCTTCTTTGTACAGGACTTGCATACCAACAGTCCATGTTACTCTAAAGGTTCCTACAATGACTTCAGCTTCATATCCAACAACAACAAGGAGGGAATCCCCATGAGGAAAGGGGAACATTTAGGGGAATTTAACTTAGGCTCTACGATCGTACTAATCTTTGAGGCACCCAAGGACTTCAAATTCCACCTCAAAGCCGGACAGAAAATCCGCTTTGGAGAAGCACTGGGCTCTCTATAGAAACTCTCTCAGCAAGAAGGTTTTCTATACAAAGGGACTCTTATCACACCACTGAGTGTTTCACTTAACCAGTATGTATCACTCAGCAGGACCTGGGTGAGGGAAACAGATGATGTCATTGCTATGTGAAACTTGAGAGTATTTGGTCTCTATTTACATGCTGCTGAATGCAGAAAGAGACTTGAATGACCACATATATGTATCAGGTACTGCTGCCTTTAAAGATATTGACCATGGAGGTTTCTGTCCCACCCTGTGCCTGTAGTCTTTCATGTTCTCCCCTTGATGTGCCACAGGATAATTATGTTCTTAGAATCTGTAAGTCCCTTTTAAGCCTTCCTAGGCTGTGCCGGTGCAATGGGGAAGGTGGAGGTAGAGATTAGCTGTATTTAAAGGGACATTGACAGGCTGAGTCAGACCTTGTACCTTATATCTGCAATGTCCATTTTTCAGACCTTGAGTAAAGAATGTGTTCTCATATTTACTTCATTCTGACACTCTGCTGAAGTTCTTATATAAAGGCAGCCTGTGAATGCACAGAGCACCAAACAGTTGAATGGGCTAGTATGGCTTCACAGTCCAAACTAAGCAAAATGTACGACAGACAGCATCGGTACAATAAATTACACGCATCCAGGTTTTCTACTGTTAGACAACTTTAATTCTTTTACCTGACGTTATCCCTTTAAAAATGGACTTTGCACTGTATTTTAAACCTGAACACACTGTGTCTACATTCCATATGATGAAACTGGTCATCTCAGGATTTTCTTTAAAAAAAAAAAAAGGCAGACAAAGCTGTGTGTCCTGTTCCTAACCATGGTTTTATTTTGCAATTCCAGGCCTTAAAGATTTTGTTTGTATGAGAGACAGTTACTTCACCTCTTGGGGTTAGAAGACATAGGGGATGTTTTTCTTCTGTGATGCAGTGAGAGGGCAGCCAAAATACTGTACTTTCTGCTATCTACCTTCATTGTTGTATTGTCACTAAATTCTTGAAGAATTACTTTTTCTACTTAAAGAACAGTTTCAGATACTTCAGGACCAATTTTTATTGCACGGAGTGAAATGCCCTATGCACTGACTGTGTATAAAGATATTATGGATCTTTGAAGCAATCCCAGGTTGCCTCCCAGGTGCCAACCTGGCCATCCTATAATGGACTGGCAACAATGTCATCTTACTCAAAATACAAAAAAACCCCACACCTGCTCTGACTTCTGCCCTCATACTTAACGCTAGGAATGCGCTGGGGGCTGAAAGCTCTATGCTGAAGCAAAACTTTACAGCCTCTTTGTAACTTCATGTCAAGAGTTAACACCTTGGATCTGTTGAATGTGGCACTACATGGCACTGACAGAAACTGGTGCCAAAGTGAAGAAGAGGAATTGAGTTTTAAAGCGATGTATCAATTGTTTTTAGAGAATAAACTGTTTCAAGTCCAGGCACTCAAGTGGACATGCATATGAATCCTGCCTTTCTGCTCTCTGAAAGATTTCTCATACTACTTCCTTGCTTGAGCCTTGGGTGTTTTTTCTGCTACTTCAAGGAGATGGTAGGCTTTGACCAGCTCTGATTTCCTAAAGAAAAACTTATCTTCTTTGTATGCACTGCAGAAAATAGAACATAATTTTGTTGTACAAATGTCCAGTTTGCCAAGTCCTGTATGCTTAGCTTGTCATGAGGAAAGACGGGATGATAAACTGCCTCTAAGTAATGTAGCCCAGCCATGACTCAGATGATGGTGGCTGTTTGGGTGACAAGCAGGAGAAAATTCATTTGGCTCCAAGAGTCAATGTTTCCTCACTTTACATAGGGAGGAGTTTGAAAGCTTGAAGTGGCTCTCAGCCACCTATCTTACTAAACTTCTTGGCATTAGCAAGTTTACTCCTGCAGCAGTATATTACCATATACAGGTTATAGAAATGTGCACTTTTTTAAATCATTGAGAGTGAGAAAAGACCAAGGCAAACATCAACCCCAAGCGGATAAAGCTATGACTAGCCTTTTGACTAAACTTTCAACATCATGTTACCAGCAGAAAGCAAATTTGTTCCAGTGGATGAGAGAAAAGACAACTGAATCTTCTGCCCCTTTTCCACTGGGGCCTATGGCATCCAGATACAGCCAGAGCAACTTTAAGCTTTAATTTCAGCCACAGTATCTGAAGGTTACTGTTAGCCTAGTTATGGAGGACAGGTTACCTGATGTTTGCTTTATTAGAAAACTAAGGAGGAGGAGAGGATTCAGCATGCTTGTGGCCGTTTTTGAGATGGTCTTAATACTGTGCAGAACTAGCTGATTAACAAACATTACTTGTTATGCAGTGGTCAGCAATGAGCCCTGGAAGTGAAAGCAAAGTTCCTAGAGGGTACTGATAATGCTGTGAATTTCTCCTGCATGGAGAATCCATTTAATTCTTCAACTGTATCAGTAGCACAGTATTTTTGTATGTCAAAGTGTATGACTTACAGACATTAACTCATTTAATTGCAAACATTTTGAAATAAAGAGTCTTATCAGTGTTGCTTATCTTTCTGAAATGTCAGGGTAACCTAAAGTAGGTATTGTGAGCGCAGCATGAGGTATGTTTAGCTCCTGTTTGGTTTGGTTTTTAACCAGCTGTAGTAACAAAACAAAACAAGCAAAAATATTTATGTTAATTTATAAAATAAAAATACCATACATAGACTAGGAGAATTTATACATCTCTTTTATCCTCCCCTGCTATGAAAGGGGCAAAAAGTCCTACCCGTGAGCTGGAAAATTGGTTCAGATGCATTATATATCCAGAGCAATCTGGATATCACGCAGGCGGGCAACCAGGTTCTGCACATGATGTCTCTCTTTCAGTTGTGCTTTGGTGAGAGCGTTGATCCTCACCTGCAACTGAAAGTGAAGACAATTGCGTAAGTTGTTTGTACCACAAGATAGCATTTAGTCTTTTTGACAGAGGAAGAGTGAATGAGCTATAGCAGCCTTTACAGTATCCCACTTAAGAACTATTAAGTGACAGGATTGTGTCACTCAGGAGCAGCCAAGTACTGGCTAGCTTTAGAGGTAACCGTGCAGTACCCATACACATGGCTGTATGAACTTGGGGACTGAGAGCAATGCAGATGCAGTCATTGTAGCGTAGCTACACTGTCCTGAGAAATACAGAAAAAGATTTGAGACCAAATCTACTAAAGCCTACTGTAGCTTGGAAATAGCCCTAGAAAGGTCTGTCGGAGCTGGAGTTACATTTTTGAGCAAATAGGAAGATGCATCTACACGGTAGTCTGTTCTACTCAACGGCCTACTTCTGGTTACAGGTTTCCCTTCTCTTGGCATTTTAGTAACAGCTTACTATACAATTCCTCACAACTACCATCAGCCTTTAGGCTAAGTGCATAGCATAGTGATAATCACTTCAGTTACTTCAATTTGTTTGCTATTTACGCACCTGATCCAATTCTTCCTGAACTCCTTGTACACCATCTTGGTCCTCTGGTTGCATGCTCTTTTCTAGCCACTTCTGTAGAATCTGTGCCTGCTGCTGACAGGACCTGATAAAATGGATTAGAAGTATTCTTATCCCAATTAGGAGCTCAACAGTCTAAGCCAACTTAGACCTGAAATTGATACTTGAAATAAGACCCAATTTTTTTGTCTCAAACCAGTCAATGATAGACATCTTTAAAATAAGGAAAAAAAAAAGTAAGTATGCTGGAAAAGATGCTTTCTGTCTGAAAGCTGTTGTCTTTATTTCCTACTCCTAGTTCCTGACTTCTTCCTTTCCTGACAGTTGAATTGCTCCAAGCCCCATTTTCTTTTAAGCGTTTTTGTAAATGTCTTCTTGTTCTAGTAGAGTAGTTGTCAAACCCCAGCCGTACTTTTTTTAATTGACAGTTGAAAAAGCTAAGTCTTCACTCCTCATGATAAAAGAACTAAGTTTCAGCTGCTCTGCCAAGTTCAGTTGCACTGCCTTCAGATTACACCCAATGATACTTTTGTTATGCTTTATCCAATAGCCGCCAAAGGTATAATGAAACCACTTGCTGACTACATAAGAAGTTGTGCATGTACCCTCTCCCACCTGGAGTGAAGTCTTAAAAGGAGAAAATAAAAACCTCTAGAACTTTTCTCTGTTTCACTCACAGTTCTGCTGTGAACAGACTGGTTATTTTCAAAGTAGATACATATAAAAAATGCAATACTGAGTTGACAGCATGAAGAAAGGCTGGCTAAAGGGGCTTTGCAACATACTTGAGTTCTTGTTTCCTGCATCTGCTGTTGGATGTGTTGGAGTTCAACTTCCAGCTTTCTCTGTAACACCATTTCTTCTCTGGAACTGTGCTCCCTTTCTTCCCCTTCAGCTGAATGGGAGATACAAGGCACAAGCAATGAGAGTAGAACAGACTTACGCTGTTTCTTCTTATTAAGGAAAGTCAGGTTAGTAGACAGGAAACATGGAACCCTCCCGGGTCCTTTTCACACATTTTGTCACCCTGTGACATGTACCTATTCACCTGAAAGATCAGGTACAGTGAAAGGGCAGGAGTCCTGACAGCATTACAAGCTCTCAAGACTCAGTTTAAACATAAAAAAAAAGATAAGAAATGCTCTAGTGAATAGTTTAGTACTACAAATGCTATTTTGGCCTATTCATGATTTAGTGGTTTACATCTACTCGAGAAGTGAGCAGTTAGTCTAGTCCCATGGAACACAAATTTCACACCCTTATGTCATTAAAAACACCTTATTGAGAGGTGCTTAGACACCATCCATGTCCTTTACAACCATACTGTAAGTATGGGGAAAACTTAAGAGACCCTTACTGGGTGAATTCTTGCCTCCTGAATTGAGTTCTGCTATACCTTTAGCCTTGTGTACATGAATGCCCCAGCACTTGAGCACATTCTTGCTAAAAGAAGCCGACCCCTAGCAGTTCCCATCCTTCAATCCCTAGAACAGTGCTTTAGTCCCCTGATTTAGCGGAGTCCATAAAACTGTATTACCATCCTGAAAAGGAATGGCTGATATTTTTCACCTCCTGATGCAGGCATACAAGACTGTCATGTCTCCCATACATTTTGTGGAGTTGACTTGCAGTCTTCCATATATTGGAGGAGGACCTACCTGCAGTTTGGTGACTCCATTTTCCCAAGTCTTCAGGTGACAGCAAATGTGGCTGCAACTTTGGTCGCAACTTCTCCACAGAGCCCTGTTGAGAGTCTTGGGAATGGGCTCCTTTGTGACCACTCACAGGCTGACCGCCTCTCTGCAAGGTCAGAATGATACTGGTTTTTTCCTCAAAGGGTTCTCTT